AGAGAGAGAGAGAGATTTAATCCAAATACAAGTCCAAATCAACATTTTTTTTCACATAACTCTCAAAGGATTATTTTTTTATTATTTTTCATTCAGTCTTTTTAGAAGAAAAAACCTACAAGTATAAGAGTATGATACCAAAAGAATAATAAAACATAAACTAAATTATTGAGTACAAGATTTTTGTGGTTTAGCATTTCTTGTCGACATTCATTAGAAAAGCAAAATTTTAATTCAAATTCTAGTCCAAACTTTACCGTCTCTAATGTAAACTTCATAGAAAATAATTTATTTTTCTACTCAGTCCCTCTAGAAAAAGTCTACGAATATGCAAAGTATGTATTCTTACCTTACCTATAATATTTATAAAGCAACAAACTCTTAATTCTAAAAATTATTTTTATATTTAAAAAAATGATTTGATTCATATGTGTCGAGGAGATGTGTCATTGACGATTGAGTCAGCCCGGCTTGATCTCGACGAAAGTGGCTCCGATATGGTCTTCATGTAACGCCAACTTATTCAAGGAAGTCTTAGGTCGATCTCGATGTGAAATTTGATTTCTCGATAGAATCCTGTATAAAGGCCAATGTCTTTCTAGACCCGACTTAGCAAAGGTAAAATTTGGCTTAACAAAAATATTATCTATTTTCGCCAAGCCATATATATATAACCATCATATTTCATCACATAATATTATAATTTTATAATATTGGTTAAAGAATTGATGATTCTATTACAATATTTCATATAATATTATAATATTATAATATTATAAATATTATATTATAAAATTATAATATTTCATCACATCATATAATTTTATATTATAAAATTATAAAATTATAATTTTATAATATTTCATCACATCATATATCATATTTCATCACATAATGTTGGTTAAAGAATTGATGATTTTAATTTTATAAAATTTAAAACTAGAACTGAATCGATTTTAAGCGATTTCGATTTGGAATCGTTTATTGTGATTTTTTAATTTTTTTAAAAAATAAAAGATGCTATTACATGAAAGATTAGTCCAAGAAATCTTCATCTCCCAACGCCAATAATCACCTGAAACATTCTATTACATAAAAGATTTGTCCAAGATGGCCTGATGTGGATATCCACTATGTGTTGGAGGAAAAGTAAAGGTCTACCACGTCAAGATCTGTAGGAATATAAGCAGCTCATCGGCCAGAAATCTTTCACAAGAAGTCAACAGACAAAAGTAAAAGGGTGTGTGATCTTTGATGCCTACCGTGAAGCGTCCGTGACGACTCCCAACACTTCCTTTGCCACGACTAACCGAGCTGAACCGAAGTCCTCCGGCGGATCAAAGCAACCCTTTTCCACGCACGCTTTGCAACCACCATGAAGCTTTTCGTAGTTGCTCATCTTTCCAAAGCTTTTGACAGAAGACAAATAACACTGTCCTTTTTTTTATGAAGCTTCGGGCGAATCTGATCTATCTTCACACTTTTAAGGTCATGCGAGTGTTGCTGGAGATAAAAGACTATTCTTTGGGTTGTAGCATCCAAAAGGAATGGTCAATCACTAAAACTTAAAATGTTATTGAAATCTACACTCACGACGAATCATTTGTGTATCTTTATTTTGGAGTTTTTCTTCCTTCGACAAGTTTCGATTGAGCGGCAGCTGACAGCTAATATGGGGAATATTTTATAGCTATTTGCATAATGACGATGGATAGTAAATGAATTTTAATAGATACTATTTCCTCAACAAATAAGACATGTCGAGCTAATTATATAATACTTCTTGCAGTTAGTTATCTTTAGCATCTTGATCTTTAAACTTCAAAAAGTTAAATTGACATGATTATGAAGATGAAATATCTATAACTATTTATCCTAATAAAATCAATTTTACTGACGAAAACAAAATGTTAAAAAAAAAAAATTTAACGTTCAATGACAGACTGACATAGGTGGTAGCAGACGACAACGTCGTTGGCGTCAACTTTGACATAGTTATCGAGTTGCCTCTGACAATGATAAGATCCACTTTTACAACATCACCCGCCTCCAAGAGAAGCGCATCGTCGATCTTATTGTTGCTCGCCCCACGTCGCTTTATATTTGTGTTGACGCAAATGGTGGTAGCCACTGCGACGTCTACAACAAAGATGGCGGCCACCTTGTTGCTAACCCATTGGGCGAATCTTAGCCTCGATTGGAAGTTGAAGTCACCGGAGCTCTTATTGCTCCCCCCTGCTAATGCATCAATTTTGACACCACCTTTTGCCGAGCAACCCTTTCACTGCTCTGTATCTACGTCGGTGTTAACGCAATTGTTTAATGACGAAAGAGCCACTCGACAATAGGTGATGTCGGAATTGACACAGTAGCGAAGGAAGCAATAGGAGCTCCAACAACCTCAGCTTCAAACCGAGGCTAAGATTCACTCAATAAGTCAACAACGAGACAACCACCATCTTCCCCATAGACATTGTGAACCACTACTATCTACGTCATTGCCAATGCAATTGCTGCTCGACAATCGTGTTAGCATCGACGCAAATGCAGAACGACATGAGATGAGCAACAATAAGATTGATGATGCGCTCCTCATGGAGGTGACTAAGGTCGCGATGAGAGCAAACCTTATCGTTGACCACCACCAATGTCATCCATCACCGAACATTAAAATTATCTTTCTTACTCTTTATTTTTATATTTTTTTTAATAAAACTAACGTGGTTAAAGTAAAGAGACCTAAATATTTCACCTTTGTACCTATAAAAATACCAATAAAATTTTTCAAAATATAAAAATAAAAATACTAAAAGTAACTAACTATAGGAAGTAATATGTAATTAGCCTCCTGTGTAACCCTCATAAGTTTATTCAAATATTCATTCGTTTCCGATGTGAGACTTAACCCTATGTATTATTATACATTTATATTATTCAAATATACATGTACAAAGCTATTACCGGATACAAAAGGTTATACCACATAGACTATAAATATTTGTCCATAATGCAGTAAGAGCACTTAGATGAGACATTCAACACTGACAAGAAAATTAAAGCACACACTAATTATGGCTTGCATGAGTTACCACATGCATCACTTAGCATGAGTTGATAAGAAAGTTTTGGTTCAAACCTTTTCTTCTAGCCTTTCTGATATCCACCTAACTCTTTAAGTGGCAGAGCTGAGATTTGAGGCTTCATTAGTTAAGGTTCTTGAACTATATACAAATGTAAAGCAGAGAGATTTGTCAATATGCTTCATGAGGCGGGCTATCTGTGTGAATATCCATAGATGAATAATTGGAACTGAGAGAATTAGTATCCCGGTTTTGATTTGGATCATGGTTCCTTGCTCCTGCAGTTCCAGTTGGTATGACAGCATTTGCATAAAGTCCACTCCCCTGAGCAAGGTGATATGGCTGAAGGCTTCTGCACACTTGGCTGGAAAGTGCATTTGAGAAAACTGAGTTCTTTGCTTGATCAGAGTGACCGCTTCGAGAGGCAAGTCCGACTGTTGGCTGTCCGAACAAACCAGATGCAGGTTGGATGCCTGAGTTTGTTAAGTGAATTGTTGTTTGGTGGTGCTGATGTTGGAATGGTGACCTGGGGGAGACTAATGAACCTTCTCCGGCATAATCCATCTCATTCTGTGAAAAGAAGTATCCGGTAAACAAATTCTAGAAATGATATATTGTTCATATTTATATTGCTAGACATGATATACACACACTACTGCTAAAAATATAGACTTTCCGTAGATCATGAAATAAAAGAGAAAGAGGGTACTGCTTACAACAAAATACAATCAAAGACCAAAAAGAAAAAAGTTATTGCTAGATGCACCAAATGAGTGGACTCCCCGAAACCTACGTCGATTAGTAATGTAGGTATAAAGAACACTTCAATCATAAAAAGCCAAATCTGACCTCGTACTTCTTCGACAAAAATAGATCCTAACAAACGAACATGTTGAATTAATTACACATGCAAAATAGGGCAGTAAAAATCAGCACCATACCTTCATCCAATTTTCACATATTTCATTAGGGAAAACATTCTAAGCAGGACTTTATTTAACACCAAGAAAATGACTGGGGTTGTTGTTTGAACACCTTGACACTGTGTCTCTCATCTGTCCTTGCAAATGTTGGAAGTTTCACATTTATCATGGTTAGCTAACGGGGATTTCAAAGAAATTTACATAGTTAATTAAGGGTCGATGAAGGTCCACCTACGATGACTTGGGTTAAACCTGATACTTATCACCAATATGAAACCTTCGGTAGCATATTAATTCAATCTTCCGCACCCACCAAAATGTTGCTGACCAATGTTCCAATTTATAGCATTCTGAACCATTTTTGTATTGTTTAATATTGAACAAATCATGGAACTCTGTAAGAGTTAATCATTTCTTTTCCAATCAACAACAGCAATCAGAGGGAGCCAGAACGACAATAATTGATACCTTGCAGAACACCTTACAAAATTATCATGTTATTACTAATAAGGCACAGGTGCATCTTTGGCAATCACAATAGATGGCTATTACTATACATGACAGTGAAAAGCATAAACAGCCAAATATTTGTATGCAACACAACATTTTCTAGTATAAAGT